TGACGGTGTTCGGCCTCAACCGGGGTTGGGGGGGGTGGCTGTGCTTTGAGCCAGCTGCTGTTTCTCACCTCCGCTCCCCAGTGCTGTGGGCTGGCGGAGAAGGCTCAGGTCCGTCTTAAGCTTGAGCCCGCCAGCGTGCTCAGTCTGAAGCTGTGAGAGGACTAGATTTCTCTGCGCACCCCCCAGCTTGGGGGGCTGGAGATGTGAATAAGCCCTGCCAAACCTGAACTCTCAGGGTGAGCTTCTTGTACACAAGACTGTACCAAAGAGAAATGGCGCCTGGTAGTCAGGCTGTCATTTCTTCTTACACCTAGCAGCAGTGTCGAGAGAGTTGAGTGTTGAGAGTCAGTATTGTGAGTTAGGAGAGTGGTGGTTTAGTTCTCCTTAATACTAAGAGTATGAAAGTATTTTAGAATGGCAACTGAATGTCGCATATAACAGTTTGGGGTGGGTTGGTTTTTTTTAGGTGGCTGTGAGCAGGGCTACTTTCTTTTGTTATAACGTGAACTTTTAATGTGACTCTTGGTTTCTTAACAGTATGCAGTTATGGGCATTATCAATAGAATAATGTTGGCATATCTTAAAATATATCTGTGAATTCCTCTTTCTCCTGTCTTGACTACAGCCCACTCTTCCCTCAAAGCCTCTTGATATTGCTAAACTTATTTGCAATTTGTCATCTCTTTGTTACCTTAAAGCTAACTATATAATTGTAAAATATGTTTTTCTTCTATTCTGCAGTGCTTCACATGTAGTTGTCTCTCTCGTGAAAAACTATCCAAACTATCTGATTATAAACCTAGATAAGGTAAGTAGCTTGATATGGAAAACTTTTAAATTATTTTTAATGCAATCTATAGCATGTTGAAATTTACACGGATTATTGTTATTTAGTAAATTTTTGTTTGACTATCCATTTCTTCCTATGCAAAAAAAAACCAACCTGTTGTTCATGCTTACAGTTATTTCCACCACAAATAATTTTTTGCAAAAAAAAAAGGGAACTTTTGAAGTTTAGGTAAACGGAAGTTTACTGTTTAAGAATTTTTGCAGTTAGGATGTCTTTCAGAGTTTTGTGTTTTTAAAGCTTCATCATGTCTGCTTGCAAAATAGCTTTTTTTTTTGAAAGAAGTTTTTACTTTGTTCTCAAACTTTTTAGTAATTAGGTTGCATCCGAGTTAGCTTATTTACTTTCACCAAGCCCACTTAATGATGTTGTGTGGGTATTTCTTTTTAGCTCGACTACTGTGCAAGCTTGAAGAATCTTGAAACTGTCTCTGAGAAGGAAAACTACAAGTTTATCCAGGTGATAAATCCTTCTCTTCTAGGAAACTTGACTTTTTACTTTTTTTTTTTTTTTAAATGCCTTCGTATCAAGGTAATGTGTTCTCCAGAGCTCCCCAAACTAGAAGCCACTGCTTTCATTTATGGTAAAGTTGAAATTGCTTCTACTAATTCATTGTCAAGAATGAGTCAGTGTATGTAATATGGTAATGTATGTGACAATCTCATGGACATAACAGCGTTTACTTCATCTGTTTATCTTATTAATAGACTTCATATTTCACCTACAGAAGTCTGTGACAATATGCAGCATGTCTTGTCTCATACATGAAGTAGGCTTTTGACAGTTGATAATATTTTATTGTATAATAAAGGTACAGAATTGGTAAAAGCCTGATTATGGAGATGAGTGCTTTTAGGGATGATTGTTTCACTTCTGATAGGTGGTATGGACAAGAGGGACTCAGACTCAGCTCCTCCATGCTTCTCTGATGCTGTCTTAGATTTTGCACCTTCAGACACTGTCACTTGTCATATTCTGTGGCGTGCAACACTCTCTTGTTCTGTTAGCACTAGACATCAGGCTACATTCTTGCTTTTGCTGCTGTTGATGCTGTGTAGTTCATAGTTGTTTTGGAACAGGGTCTCATGGGAACATTCAAGGTATGCCTTTTCTTTCTAAAACTTTGCCAATTAAATTAGTTTACCGTTTCCACAGTTTTATCTTCAGACAGGAGATGGATGTAGATTTACTGTTCAGATAAACATTCTTGACTGCTGGGTTTGTATGCTGAGGTTCTTCCCCTCTATGAAAGTCAGTACTGATGCTGGTCTCTTTGTCTAGCTGGGCTGCGCAAGGTTGCAGGACATCAGAGGAATGCATATAGTTTAATTTTCTGAAATAGCAAATTTGGGGCAACTTTGTCAGAGGTAGTAGATGTAGGCTAAACATATCTCTTAGATTCAGGCAAGGTTGGGAATTGAAGTTGTCCTCACCTGTTTGGTGACCCCCATGGCTGTTTACATTTTTGTGAACCTACCTCTTTATTTCAGTAAGTGATTATCTCTGAGCTGTTGGGATAAAAGTTGCATGAGGGGAAAGGGAATGTCTACTAAGCAAATGTACGCAGTTTAAGCATGCCCAAACCGGGTTTTTTGTTATTTTTGCTAATGTTTTTGATAGTTTCCAGTGTGTTATATGAAATGTATGAATGCTGTAGAAAAGCCTCGTTACCTGGATATATATTAACACTTAATTGCTGGGGATAGTGCGGAGTTCTAGAGGGCATCCTGTAAACAGGCAGATCCCTGTGTGAAGCAGGGGATAGTAACAAGGAATGATGTAGCTATACTGCTTCTGAACTAGAGTAGGAATATATTCTCACAAAACTTAAAACAGTATAATTCATTCCAACTTCTCAGTTTGGTGGGTTTTTTTGGGGGCGTGGGGGGAGAAGGAAGGTTGATCAGAGCTGATATGCAGCTGGTATGCAGCCAAGCAGTTTACACTGATAGGAAAAAATGGAAAAAGTAGTCTCTGATGGACAAGCCCTACGATTAGAACTGTAACACTATTACTGGCCTTAGGAGAGAGCAGGCAGGATAAATGCTGTAGTGGTACTGTAGAAAAGCAACCTGTTTTGGAAGGTAGAGAAGTAAAAGTTTAGAAAATTTGCATAAGAGGCTGGATGGAAGATACAGTTTTATCACAATTTTTATTGTTGCTTAGCACAGACATAGCGAGTTTGAATTTCAGTTAAAAAAAAAATAATCAATAAATGTAACCATTTAGTTCAAAATAATGTGTGAGCCTGAAGTATTTACTGGAGTGTTTCAGTTCTGTTCAGGGATGAGAAATAGGAAAATCAATTCATCTTCCATTTCTGACATACAGTACTTCTTTGAGGCTGTTCAGAATTGTTGCTTGAGAACTCCTTAAAACATAAGTGCATTTGTACTGTTTTTAGTTAATTGTCTTGTTATTGAAAATAAAAAAGTCTTCCTCCCCAAGACACCCCTTCTTCTCAGGTACTATCTTGTTTAAGTTGAGCCAACAGATAAATATCAAAAGCTTTTTCTCAGCTTGCATTTACCTTTAAAAGCTGCTGCTGCTTCTATGTCAAGCTAAAGAATGGCTTGTGTGTCGATGCCTGACTCTTTTCTAAATATATCAGTTAAAAAAAAATTACCAGAACAAACAACAAAAACCAAAATCCTTGCAAGACATCCAGCCATCTATTTTGAAAAAAGAGGAAATCCACTTTACCTTTTATAATGCCACTAGATGTCACTGTCTGTTAGCCAGACTCCAGTAACTCTCTTACTTGCTGTGGGAACTTCTCATTTCAACCTCCGCATTCAAGCTACATCTGTTGTGTATATTTTGGGGGGCGATGCTGTTTCTAATGTTAAATAGTAATATAAATCCTGAAATAAGTTTCGTTGAGGCTGTTGCTCAAAATGTGTGAAATTTATATCTGGTCTTATTTTAGACATGGCATTGATAAATTGCCCAAAACTCAGCTGGTAGTGCTATTTGTATCCTGTGCTTCCTTTGTAATGGTTTATTATGTGATGGTTGGTACAAATGAAAACTCACTCTTTTCTATCAAAAATAATTTGTTAATGATTTTTTTTTTCCTGTCTAGGGAGATATTTGTGAACCTGATTTCATAAAACAGCTCTTCGAAACTGAGAAAATAGATATAGTCCTTCATTTTGCAGCCCAAACACATGTAGGTGAGCATTGTTACATGTTCTGCTATTATTTTCCATGAGTATATTTGTCTAAAATATATACTGATGCTGTTTTGTCTTTTCCCTTCATAAAAAACAAGGACACAGTTTGTCTCTACAAACTACATGATTCAATGTCTGGTGGCCTTTTTAACTTAAAGGGGTTCACAGCCTTAATTTAATCAGTGCTTCATCTGACTGTTGTCTGTTTTCATTGTGCGTAGTTGGTAATGCCCTTTTGTTTTGCATTACATCTTTAAATTCCATCTAGACACACATGTAACTGACAGTGTACTGGTGGAGTCATGAAGACAATGGAAAAAGAGTTTGTGCATAGTCCTTCAAGTTTTTACTTGATTGGCTCCAACCTTGCAGGAAAAAACAGTGTGGAAGCTGAAGGATTAGGCATACCTCCCTCCAAAATCCTGCCTGGATTCTAAAAAGAGAGAATGAATTACACTTAAAAGTGCCTATTTCAGATTACCACTCTTCAGTAACGCTCTTAATGAGATCTATCCCTACCATACTCCTTTCATCACGAGAAGAAATTATTGAAGAATTCTCCAGGAAAATACTTCTCAAAATTGTCAGATCTGATATGCACAAAGTCATTAGGACTCAACCAGGACGCTGGTTGAGAGAGTCCCTTGGGAGACAGTCCTGAAGGGCAAAGGGGTTCAGGAAGGCTGGACGATCTTCAAGAAGGAAGCCTTAAAGGTGCAGGAGCAGGCTGTCCCTATATGCCATAAGAAGAACGGGCGGGGAAGACGATCGGCCTGGCTGAACGGGGAGCTTTTGCTGGGACTCAGGAAAAAAAGGAGAGTTTACCGCTTGTG